TAACATTTCTCTCTTTTTTAAACACTTTGTTGCATTTATTTTTATTGACTTTAGAGAGAGAGGAAGGAAGTGGGAGAGAGAAACATCAATGAGAGAGAACATCGATTGGCCGCCTCCTGCATGCTCCCCGACTGGGGATTTGGCCCACAACCTGGGCATGTGCCCTGACTGGGAATCGAACTGGCAACCTCTTGGTGCATGGCTCGATGATCAACCACTGAGCCACACTGGCCAATCTCTCTCTCTCTCTTTTATCCTCACCTGAGGATATTTTTCCATTTATCTTCAGATAGAGTGGGAGGGGGAGAAGAGGGAGAGGAAGAAGAGAGATAGAAACATTGATGTGAAATAGACACATCAACTGGTTGCCTCTCACATGACCCCGACTGGGGTTGGGGATGAACCACCACTGAGGTACATGCCCTTGACCTGAATTGAACCCGCGACTCATTGGTCCGAGGGCTGACACTCTAACCACTGAGCCAAACTGGTCAGGGCATTTCGACATTTCTCATACTCATGACCTCATTTCCTTCCCACCTTCACTGCCCACCATCAGACCATTTTAGCAAACCTAAGCTCCCTAGTCTAGTCTTTCTCTTCCAGACCCTTCTACACATTGATGTGGGTGTCATCACATGAAGTTCCAGCTGTCCCTGGCTCAAAAATTCTCAGTGGTATTCCCACAATCTAAAATAGTCAAAACCCCTGCACATATTTCTACCGTATTCCTTCCCCTCACCTTATGTTGCCCATTCTCACCACTCCTGAACACACCATATACTACTCTCCCACCTCTGGGCTCTTGCTCAGCCTGTCCCTGCTGTCTGGAATGCCCTGCACCTCTGCCTATCAATGTCTTACTCATGTTTCAAAGCTGAGTCCTTATTTATTAACTTTTTCCTGATTTCACAACCTTGCTTCCTTGCCTGATAGAAGTTAATGTCACTTTCTTATAGCAAAAAACATATTCTACAGTTATTCCAGGAGTACAGGGGTTCTTTCTGGCCCATGTCTACCTTCCCCACAGCATAGCTTAGTATAATACAGGGTCTTCAACAATGCTTGCTGAACACAACTAAATTATAATGTCATAGAGGGTGTTATCTGTGCTGTATTTGGGGCAGAGAGGAAAGATGGCAGTGTGTGCACTGAGGAACCATATTCTAAAGGTGGGAGAAGACTCTGAGGTGACAAGACACTTAGGTTATGGAAAGAAGTAAAGAAGTATACACTAGCAGGGGGGTAGGACCCCCACTAGGACCCATACCCTGCCTTCTAGAATACCTGGACTGCCTAGAGCATTGGACAAACCATATTGGTTTCCTCTCTGGAATAAAGTGGGCACTAGTTAAGTTTGTTATAGTGATCTATTATTTCATGGCCTCAGCCCCACACAGGCCAACTGGGTGGCCTGGGTTGGCTACGTAGGTTTCTTATTATTCAAGGGCAGCTATACTTCCCATTTTCTACCATCTGAACGTGAAGATCCAAGATTGACATCTTAGTCCTCTTCTTGGAGAAGACTACCAATCTGGGAGGTGTGGTGGGGTAGTACTGGGTTGGGCAGGTCCGATCCGGAACAGCCATGCAATGATGCAACAACTATTAAAGTGACAAGCGCATACTCTATTAGTATATCAGTAGCGAGCCTGGGGTAATGTTCCCAAACCCCATATTCACAGTATGCAGCAGTGATCCCTGGTCAGCACACAGCACTGTAAGCCATCTCTTCTCATCATCTGTGAACTTTCTGAACATCAGCATTTTCTTTGCAGTTCTCATTTCTTTTTCCTATCTCCTCCTCTCTTTATGGCAACATTTATTTCAGTGGGCTTTGAATGCATAGTAAAGGGAGTGGGTCTAGCTGAGCCTAATCTCTGGATTACTCACTTGATTAGCATAGCGTTTTGGTAACTTCTTGCCAGTGTCAATGTCCATTTCTTCATCATCTTTCTTATCTTCTTCTTCCTCACTCTGCATCCCTGTCCAGTCATCTTCAGCCAGTCTTCTGGCATGATTCACATAATCCAGACGCTTGCTAAAGAAAAGGCATAGAGACAGGTCTTTATGTCTTTTTGGAAGAACCCCTACATTGTGATAGATGGATTCAATTCAAAGTCTCCAAATTCAGGAACAATTTGGGGATTCTGATGGGAGTAAGAGATAACAGAATTTCCTCTATAAGGCTAAACTAGTGACTGTCTCCTCACAAATCCTAACAGGAAACTCACTCTGAACAAACACAGCCTTCCTCAGAGTTTCCTAAAACTGAACAAAGTAAAATGTGTGTGTGTGTGTGTGTGTGTGTATATATATATATTTATATATATATTAATTGATTTTTTAGAGAAAGAAAGGGAGAGCTAGAAACATCAATGTGAGAGAGAAACATAGATCGGCTGCCTCCTGCATGCCTCCCACTGAGGATCAAGCCTGCAACCCAGGCATGTACCCTGACTTGGAATCGAACCGGGACCTCTGAGTCCATGGGACTGATGTGTAATCCACGGAGCTGGGCAAAAGTAAAATTTTTTGCAATTTTTTTAAAAAAATCCTCACCCAAGGAGAGAGATACATGTGTATATATATATTTGTATATATATTTATATAGATAGATAGATAAATATATATATATTTTTTCCTATTTATCTTCAAATAGAGTTGGAGGGAGAGAGAGGGAGAAAAAGGGAGAGAGAGAAACATCAACGTGAGAGGGACACATCGACTGGTTGCCTCCTGTACAACCTCGACCAGGGCCAGGGATGAACTGCAACCAAGGTACATGCCCTAGGCCAGAATCAAACCCGCAACTCATCGGTCCATGGGCCAATGCTCTACCACTGAGCCAAACCAACCAGGGCAAATTATAATATTTTAAAAAGAGGTCATGGGGCCTAGCCGGTGTGGCTCAGTGAATTGAGCGTTGTCCCATGGACTGAGAGGTCCCAGTTGTGAGCTTGATGTTCAGTAGGGGGCATGTGACCGATCTATGTTTCTCTCTCACATGGATGTTTCTATCTTTCTCTCCCTTCCCCTCTCTCTAAAAAAACAAAAAACAAAAAAACAAATCAATAAAAATTTATTTAGAAAACAAAAAGAGGGTGTGAGGTGATCTGAGAATATAATCTGCAAGCAACCCAGAGGCCATGGGGAACCATTTCTGCTAAATACACCCAGGGATGCAACACTGGGCAAAATGCAGATGGTATAGAAACTGTGTAGCTGTTAAAAGCTCCTCTTGATTTTCAAGGCCTTAACTGATTACCCAGAAGAGGCCCATGTTATGCTAAGAATAAAAGGACAGGCTCGGTCATCAGAGCAACCCAGCCTCAAACACTCCTGCTCTTTTTCCCTGTGTGCTCAATTTGGCACTGAGAATTGCATGTATGAAAGACATTTCCCCAGGTTCCCTGTAGAACTACTTGTCTGGAACTCCCAAGAGCTCCACAGAAACTTCTGGGCTGCAGGCAGACAGGAAGACCACACCAATGCCAGAATTCAGAGTGTGGGAAAAATTACACAGGGAATGTGGAAAATGGAAGTCTGAGCATGACTTTCACAAGTCTGTAAATTATAAAGCTCAGTACTGCTACCAGGAAGAAAAAGAAGAACTTAACCAAATAACTTAACTTTTACTTTCAAGCTTCCTCATCTTTTCCTAAGCTCTGGGTGTAAAGGAAGTCTACCTCTGCCAAGATTTATTTCTCCCAACCTCCTGGGCAAGATGATCAACTTATAAAGGGTCTACCTTGAAGGGGATTCTGTAGAGGCAAGCTTAGAGCTTTCTGAACAGTTCACAATGCCCAGCCTGGAGAAAAAAGCCAGGGAGTAAAAGCATCCCTTACAATTTCTGCCGTTCCAATAACCGCTGACGCCGCTCACTCTGCTCCAAGGAACTGTACTTGGACTTATATTGGGACAGGCGGGGGTGTGGGGCAGCTGTGCTATTCAGATCTTGAGACACAGAAAAGCTACTAGCCAGGGCTTGACTGAGCTCTTCCATTTTTCCTACAAAGGAAAACATAAGAAAGTGGTTCATTTATTTCATATAACCTCCTGTATATAAGCTGTTATAACATGATGACTATATTCCTAAAAAACCTTACTTAATCCAAAATCATAATGGTTTCCATGGGAAAAAATGAAAGTTAAAGGGTAAATGAGTTACAGATGAACAATTATGTTACGTCCTACAGATGTTTCAATAATGATCCTTCTGATAGCTCTGAGAATATATAAACTTAAATAATGGTCACTACGCAAATTCACCTTATGAGTGAACCTAATTTTTGCTTTGTCATTCATCACCAGGGTCTTGTCATTAAGTCCTTCTTACTATTATTGATAATCAATGATGTGATCAAGTAACTAATTCTTTTCCTGAATAGTTCTAAGTAGTCATTACTCATTAACTAATAAAACTTTTTTTTTTTTCATTCTCTGTAGAACAAGAACAGGTCTTTCCTTTACTGACATGCATAAAGTACACCACGTTTTCTGTTCTGCTGATGCTAAAAATTCAGTACCAATTCTCTAGCCACATCACTTATGAGCATAAAGTATATCATGTAACCTCAGATCTCTAATGGTGGAAGGCTTAAACAAAAATGAATGCTGCTAGAATAACACTGTTTCCTTTCATGCAACAACTGAGCATCCATCTCCCTCTTGCTCAGATGATTTCTTCAGCATGTTAGAGCAGTGAGGAATGGTTTGTCTCATAACCAAGTTAGAGTGAAGACATTGGAAGACATTGGCCACATAATACACATACTCCATTTTTTAAAAATTCCTAATCTTGGGCAACTGTTCTCTTGTAACTACTTTACAGTGTCTAAAAGCAGCTATTATCCAAAGAACAAGTCTTCTCAGATGAGCATGTGAATGAATGGAAGGAGGTAAAAAAAAATAAAATTAAAAAAGATGAGGTCTAATAGAGGGGCAGCTAGATAAGAAAATCAAAAAAGGAACAGTGATTTAAAGTTTATTCCGCTATAATGCAGGTTATTCTGACTTTAAGGTAGCATCACATGGCATACTTCTGAGTCCATTCCCGAGATATTCTGTTGTACTTATCTCTGTCCGTATTATAGATCCGTGCAATCTCTGGCACTAGGGGGTCATTTGGGTTTGGATCACATAGCAGTGAACAAATGGATAAAAGAATGTTAGAAATAGTTAATGCAGGAGACCACTGTGATCTTAGAATATTGAGACAAATGCTGCCATTACTGTTAATATTTGGATGATAAATTCTTTTTTTTTTTTTATCCTCACCCGAAGACATTTTTTTGTTTTTTGTTCCAATAGAGTGGGAGGGAGAGAGAGGAAGAGAGAGAGAGAGAGAGAAACATTGACGTGAAACGGACACATCGAGTGGTTGCCACCAGCACGACCCAACCGGGGCCAGGGACAAACTGCAACCGAGTATATGCCCTTAGTGGGAACCAAACCTGGATCTTTCTGGACCGCAGGCCAACGCTCTAATCGCTGAGCCAAACCGGCCACGGCAATAAATTTTTGTTTGAAGGGGTAGTCTGTAGAAAAATTAATTGTCAAAAAGAATACACTGCCTTGTCCTGGCTGGTTTGGCTCAGCAGTTAAAGTGTCAGTCCAGGGGCCAAAGAGTCGTGGGTTTGATTCTAGTCAAGGGCACGTACCTCAGTTGCGGTTTGTCCGCGGCCCCGGTCGGGGTCGTGCAGGAGGAAGCCAGTTGATGTGTCCCTCTCACGTTGATATTTCTCTCTCTCTCTCCCTCCATCCTACTCTATCTGAAGATAAATAGAAAAATATCCTTGGGTGAGGATTAAAATAAAAGAATACACCATCTTGCCCTGGCCAGTTTGGCCAGCAGTTAGAGGGTCAGCCTGCAGACCAGAGAGTCCTGGGTTCGGTTCCCGCTAAGGGCATGTATGTTGGTTGCAGTTTGTCCCTGCCCCGGTTGGGGTTGTGTGGATGGCAACCTGTTAATGTGTCTCTCACATCGATATTTCTCTCTCTCTCTTCCTCCCTTTCTCCCTCCTGCTCTATCTGAAGATAAATGCAAAAATGTCCTCAGGTGAGGATAAAAAAAAAATAAAAAAAAATACACCACTTGATATGGCCTGTCATTAAGTCCCAATTGTGGCTTGCCACTGAAATATATCATCCCCAGCTGGAACTGCAGAACATTGTGCTTGAGGGTCATGGTTCAAATTACTAAATTCCTTATTAATCCGTTTCAGCGCCATAGTCTGCGCTTTGCCTCTAGCTCCTCACTATCTCGGTATGTGCTCAAAAGTCTGATCTAAACTCTTGATTATACCGGCAGCGCAAAGAATTGAATCTTCGTTTCACACTGGCTCTGCCAGACACAGGCGCTTGGTATTTGGGCGGATCTCGTGATAACCTCATGGCTGGGTTATAGGAGCTGTGTGTCTAATATAACTTTCTGATGCAAACTTTATCCAGTTGGTTGCTTAATTCTCCAATAAATGCCAACTCACATTAAATTTAGCTCCAGGAGAAATACTAGCTCTGGAGTCCCAGGAGGAAGACAAGAGAAGCCAAAAACACAAACCTGGGAGTTACTTTCTCATTTTATAGGTTATTTTGTTTGGGGTGGGCAGAAGAAAGTTTTTAGGAGTACCTATTTAGGACTCACTTGAAAAATGATACCTAGAATGTGGAAGGCTTTCTATCAGCTAATACCATGTGCTTTAGAAATGTGAAGGACTGCCCTGCTGGTTTGGTTCAGCGGTCAGAGCACGGACCAAAGAGTTGTGGGTTTCATTCCTGTCAAGGGCATGTACTTTAGCTGCAGTTGGGTTCCAGCCCTGGTCGGGCCCTGAGGGAGCCAACCAGTTGATGTGTCTCTCTCACATCGATTTTTTTCTCTCTCTCTCCCTCCCTCCTACTCTATTTGAAGACAACTAGAAAAATGCCCTTGGGTGAGGATTGAAAAAAAAGAAAGAAAAGAAATACAAAGGACTGACATGTGGTACATTTGGGAGAACAGAGAGAAGAGAGAGGCTACCCAGGTAGGTCCTAAAGAATGAAAGTGGAGAGCCGGGTGGTGTGGCTCACTGGTTGAGCGTCGACCCATTCACCAAGAGGTCTCCATTTCGATTTCTGGTCAGGGCACATGCCCAGGTTGTGGGCCTGATCCCCAGTCGGGGGGCATGCAGTAGGCAGTCAATCGATGTTCTCTCTCATCAATGTTTCTCTCTCTCTCTCCCTTCCTCTAAAACCAATAATAATAATAATAATAAAAACATTTAAACACATGGAGACTAAATAACATGTTATTAATGAATGGGTTACAAAGGAGATCAAGAAAGAAATTAAAAACATCCTGGAAACCAATGAAAATGAACACACAACAACACAAAATCTATGGGATGCAGCAAAAGCAGTCCTGAGAAGGAAGTTCATAGCACTATAGGCCTACGTGAGGAAACAAGAAAAATTTCTAATTGACTATATTACCTCACAACTTAAAGAACTAGAAAGCAAACAAAAACAAAATCCCAGAGCAAGTAGAAAGAAAAAAATAGTAAAGATCAGAGCAGAAATAAATGACACAGAGACTAAAAAAAAAAATTTCAAAAAATCAATGAAACAAAGAGCTGGTTCTTTGAAAAGATAAACAAGATTGATGGATCCTTACCTATTCTCACCAAGAAACAAAGAGAGAAGACCCAAGTAAACAAAATCATAAACGAAAGAGGAAAAGTAACAACTGACACCACAGAAATACACAGGATCATTAACAAATACTATGAACAATTATACACCTACAAAATGGACAATCTAGGCAAAATAGACAAATTTCTAGAAACACAGAGTCTCCCAAAACTGAACCGGGAAGAGATAGAAAACTTGAACACACCAATAACAACTAAGGAAATTGAGGATGTAATCAAGAAGCTCCCAGCAAACAAAAGCTCAGGCCCAGACTGCTTCACAGGGAAGTTTTACCGAACAGTCAAAGAAGAACACCCATTCTCCTCAAACTATTCCAAAAAAATTCAAGAACAAGGAAGACTTCCAAACTCAATTTTTGAGGCCAGCATAATTCTAATTCCAAACTCGGATAAAGACACTACAAAGAAAGAAAACTACAGGCCAGTATCCCTGATGAACACAGATGACAAAATTCTTAACAAAATATTAGCAAATCATATCCAGCAATGCATTAAAAAAATCATTCACCATGACCAAGTGGGATTCATCCCAGAGACGCAAGGCTGGTACAATACATGCAAATAAATAAATGTGATATACTACATAAACAAAATGAAAGATAAAAACCATACGATCATATCAATAGACGCTGAAAACGCATTTGACAAAATTCAGCACCCATTCTGATAAAAACACTCAGCAATGTGGGAATAGAGGTATCATATCTCAACCTAATAAAGGCTATATGAAAAGCCAACATCATACTCAATGGGCAAAAAACTAAAAGCATTTCCCTTAAGAACAGGAACGAGATAGGGATGCCTATTTTCCCCGCTCTTATTTAACACGGTACTAGAAGTCTTAGCCACAGCAATTAGACAAGAAGAAAAAATTAAAGGGATCCAAATTGGAAAGGAGGAAGTGAAACTGTCATTTGCAGATGACATGATATTATACACATAAAACCCTAAAGACTACATCAAAAATCTACCAGATTTAATACACGAATCCAGCAAAGTAGCAGGATACAAAATTAGCATCAAGAAATCGATGGCATTCTTATACACCAATAATGAACTCACAGAAAGAGAAACTAAAAAAACAATTCCACTTACCACTGTGGCAAAAAAATTAATATACCTAGAAATAAACTTAACCAAAGAAGTAAAGGGCCTATTTGCAGAAAACTACAGGACATTGGAAAAAGAAATAAAGAAAGATATAAAAAAGTGGAAGAATATACCTTGTTCATGGATTGGAAGAATTAACATCATCATACTACCCAAAGCAATCTATAGATTCAATGCAATCACCATTAAAATACCAACAACATATTTCACAGAACTAGAACAAATACTTAAAAAGTTCACATGGAACCAAAAAAGACCCCAAATAGCCATAGCAATCTTGAAAAAGAAGAACAAAATAGGAGGGATCACAATACCAGATATCAGGTTATACTACAAAGCCACTATAATCAAAACAGCCTGGTACTGGCACAAGAACAGGCATATAGATCAATGGAACAGAACAGAGAACCCAGAAATTGACCCAAGACAATATGCTCAATTAATATTTCACAAAGGTGGCAAGAGCATACAATGGAATAAAGAGAGCCTCTTTAATAAATGGTGTTGAAAAAAATTGGACAGCTACATGCAAAAAAAAAAAGAAACTAGACCACCAACTTACACCATACACAAGAATAAACTCAAAATGGATAAAAGACTTAAATGTGACTTGTGAATCCATAAAAATCCTCGAAGAAAATGTAGGCAACAAAATCTCAGACATCATACACAGCACAATTTTCACTGATATATCACCTAAGGCAACAGAAATAAAGGACAAAAATGAACTCATGGGACATCAAATTCAAAAGCTTCTGCACAGCAAAAGAAACAACAATCAAAATGGAAAGGGAACCAATCCACTGTATGGGATAGCGTAATTGCCGATGATACATCAGATATGGGGTTAATTTCCAAAATATATAGAGTACTCATACAACTCAACAAAAGGAAGACAAAAAAAAACAATTTAAAAATGGGCCTAGGGCCCTGGCCGGGTTGCTCAGTGGTTAGAGTGCCAGCCTGCAGACTGGAGAGTCCCAGGTTCGGATTCCGCTAAGGGCACGTACCTTGGTTGCGGTTCGTCCCCGGCCCCGGTTGGGGTTGTGTGGGTGGCAACCACTTGATGTGTGTCTCTCTAGTTTTGATATTTCTCTCTCTCTCTTCCTCCCCCTCTCCCTCCTGCTCTGAGGATAAATTCAAAAGTGTCCTCGGGTGAGGATAAAATAGATAAATAAAAATAAATGAGCAGAGGGCCCTGGCTGATTTGGCTTAGCAGTTGGAGCGTCAGCACATGGACCAGAGTCCCGGGTTCAATTCCAGCCAAGGGCATGTACCTAGGTTGTGGTTCATTCCTGGTCCCAGTGGGGTCATGCAGGCGGCAACCAACCGATGTATCTCTCACATATCGATATTTCTCTCTCTCACTCCCACTCTGTCTGAAGATAAATATCATTGGGTGAGAATTTAAATAAATAAATAAAATTTATATTATAAAAAAAATGGCAGAGGACCTAAATAGACAACTCTCCAAACAGGACACACAAATGGCCAAGAGACATATGAAAAAATGCTCACCCTGGCCGGTTTGGCTCAGCGGTTAGAGCGTTGGCCTGTGGTCCAGTGAGACCTGGGTTCAGTTCCTGCTAAGGGCATGCACTTTGGTAGCAGTTTGTTTCCAGCCCCGGTTGGGTTGTGTGGGTGGCAGCCACTCAATGTGTCCCTTTCACATCGATGTTTCTCTCTCTCTTCCACTCTGTCTGAATAAAAAATGAAAAAATGTCCTCAGGTGAGGATTAAAAAAAAAAAAAAGCTCAACGTCACTAATCATCAGAGAGGTGCAAATTAAATCAACTATGAGGTATCACCTCATACCTGCCAGAATGGCTGCCATCAACAAATCATCAAACAAGTGCTGGCGAGGGTGTGGAGAAAAAGGGACTCTAGTACACTGCTGGTGGGAAATGCAGACTGTTGTGGCCACTGTGGAAAATAATATGGTTTCCTCAAAAAATTAAAAATTGGCCCTGGCTGATTTTGCTCAGTGGTCAGAGCTTCGGCCTGCAGACCAGAGAGTCCCGAGTTCAGTTGCCACTGAGGGCACATACCTTGGTTGCAGTTTGTCCCCGGCCCCAGTTGGGGTCATGTGGGTGGCAACCACTTGATGTGTCTTTCTCACATTTATGTTTTTCTCTCTCTCTTCCTCCCTCTCTCCCTCCAGCTGTCTGAATATAAAGGCAAAAATGTCAAGGATTAAAAAAAATTTTTTTTAATTGAACTGCCATTTGACCCAGTGATCCCACTTCTAGGAATATATCCTAAGAATCCTGAAACACCAATCAGAAAGAATATTTGTACCCTGATGTTCATAGCCACACTATTTACAATTGCTAAGACCTGGAAGCAGCCCAAGTGTCCATCAATAGATGAGTGGATAAAGAAAAAAAGCTGTGGTACATATACACAATGGAACATTATGCAGCTATAGGGAAGAAAGATCTCGTATCCTTTGATATAACATGGAGGGACCTGGAGAGTA